ACTGTGGTTGAAAAACAGCTCTAACTGCTGAATTTTTGTAACTTATTGAGAAAAGCTGAATACAGGACATTTAGGGTGTCCTGAAAAAGCCAATATAGAATGCAGGACAAAATCACATCGAGGATGTGTCCTGTGTGTTCAGGATGGCTGCCAACCCTAGATGAAGTCCATGCCTGAGGCAGGCCCTTCTAGCACCAAGCTTTCCCAGCAGTGTTCAGGCAGCAGCCAAGAGTTCTGTGGGTGTCAGGGCCCACTGTCCCCAGGGGGAAGAAAGGGCTGTGGGCTTGCAGTCCCCACTTTACCCAGACTGCTCGGCCTTCCTTATGTTCATGGATTGTATTTCTGGGGAAAGCTTCAGCTGGAATGAGTGGGCTCATATCTAAAATTTTGACAATCACAGTCTCCCGGTTAGATAAAAGATATGTCATGAAATTCCAACTTCCAGGGACATGGGCCCAAGACTGCCTCCAGTCCTTTGCTCTCTATGTCATGAGAAACTTGAGCTACTGCAGAGTTGCCAGCTGCCTAGAACAGACACATTAGTTAGAGCAGATAACTGTCTGTGTATTGTGGGTGTGTAAGCTTAGCCTTGAACAAAGGCTATCAAGAGTAGAATCCTAGAAGACACCTGAGAGGGCGGATCTGAGATTGAAAATTCATGCTATATAACTTTTTATATACTATAAGCCACAAATACACAGGCATGGGCAATTTATAGGCAAAGGCACAAGTACATGCTTACAAAAGAGGGCTATAGGAAACAGGAAAACTTTCTCTTACTGATGGTTTTCTGGGTGAGTACTTTCTCCCTTTAAACTCTTCCCTGGACTTATTAAGTTTTGTGTAATTGTGGTTTCCAACAGTGTTTGCAGGGGATGAGACAGAATATAGGCCACTATAGGCACAATACTTGATTTTACCTCCACCCATGGCGTCCCATGACCTCTCCAGATGCAGCCGGGGACCCTCTCCCGATAGCCAGGCCTATGTTTTCTACTGCCCACTGGACGTCTCCACCTGGACAGCCTGCAGAACCTCACCATACATGGCCCACACCTCATCCACCACACCCTCCTTCATCTCTACCTCCAACTCACATTGCCACCAACTCTTCCTCCTCCTTTATCCTCAGTCTCAGCTAAGAGGAAGAGCTTCTACCTAGTCAGCTAACCTTCAGAACTCAGGGTCATTACAGACTCTCTCCCACCCTTTCACATAGTCCCCAACTTCTAAAACTCAAATCTGTCTCCTCCTCACCATCCTCACATCTACAGCCTGAATCAAGTGCCTTGCCATCTCCTTTTGTTTTGTTTACTTAGTGTTTGCCTTCAGCATGTGTTCAGTAAGTGCTTTCCAGGTGAATGAATGACTCAGAGTACCAGAGGTAACATTGATTGATTCAAAACAATCCTGGTAGGGTCTCTGCCTCCACGGAGGAAACCCAAAGTGTTACAACTCCTTACCTAACTTGAGAATTCCCACGGGTGTCTCCTTTCCAAGCCCTGACACCCTCATCTTGGAGGTGGGGATGCTGCCAACAGGATGGTACATAATGCTTCCCTCTTTGGACCTCACGTATCTCCATAGTCTCCTGTCAGTTTAATAAGGAAGTGTGCCATCTCTATAAGCGCACCACACACTCTGCAAATGTCTGACCCTTTCCCAATCCCCTATCTAGTCACAACACAGGCCAGCAAACACAGCCCCAGGACACTTACCTCTGGTATGCCAAAAATTCAGGAAGCATAGAAGGCAGTCTGGGTTTAAAGATACCACCTGATTGTTTTTTAAGACATGTCCATACCTATCCTCTTACGGTCACTGAGCTAACTAGCCACTAAGGCATCCCCCCTCCAATTTCCCCCTCCTTGAAATTGTATATCCGTTTCTTCTACTAAGTGTGGTACTCATGGTCTGTCTCAACTGTCTGCCATCATTCACTAACCCCATCTATTTACAAAACCCCATCCTCAGTAGAGGAGGTACACTGCATACAAGGTAAGAAACAGCTGTCTCCAGAAGACATATAGTTCCCAGCCCAGTTACATTGGCTGTTTGCTTACACAGTGATCTCCATGACCTTGCCCCATGTGCCTCTTAAGGGAGAGGCCTTGGTTTTTGACCACCAACGTATGCTCACTCATTGCTGTCTCTTTTCAGTGGCTAGTCTCAAATATGGCACCCCATTAAAATCCTACTGCAGGGCTTCCCTGGTGGCACAGTGGTTGAGAGTCTGCCTGCCCATGCAGGGGACACGGGTTCGTGCCCCAGTCCGGGAAGATCCCACGTGCCGCGGAGCGGCTGGGCCCGTGAGCCATGGCCGCTGGGCCTGCACGTCCGGAGCCTGTGCTCCGCAATGGGAGGGGCCGCAGCAGTGAGAGGCTCGCGGACCAGGAAAAAAAAAAAAAAAAAAAAATCCTACTGCAAACGTCAAGATGGTTACATGGTTTCAAAAACTTCTCTTACTTCAGGTTTATATCCCAGGAACTAGTATGTTCTGTGCCAAGAAGCCCATAGGAGATTGACCATGTACCTAAACTTCACTGTTCAAAGGGAACTTTACATAGAAGGGGCTATTGCTATCAGAGGGATCCCATAGTAAATGTCAGCCAAGAATGCCTGCAGGAAGTTGGAATACTCTGTCAGGGAGAAGGAAGGTGGTTCTGGGCTGTCTGCTCTACTGGGATCAGGATGCAATGTTCAGAGGAGGATGCAGTGAAGAGCTGGTCAGCAGATCAGGTTACACAGTTAGCCAGGAAGGCACACTAGGGAAGACCCAGGGGAAGGGAGCTGTAATGTGGGAAAGTGTTCGGACTGAACACACATGCCAGCTACTGATCAGAGGCAGCTCTCAAGGAACCTTGGTGTTGAGGTAACAGCACCCTGGGTAAATGAATCCAACAATCTCCAAATTGTGTTTGATTCTCATTTTCACATCCCTTCTTTATACCCACTTTTAGTACTTTGGCTACAAGGTACTTTTTAATCCCCTGAGAGGCATTATGGAGTAGTAAGAAATGAGTTAACAGACAGAATGGTGACCTCAGGCTAAGAGAAGTGGAATAGCATGGGCTCTAGAAGAATTCAAACCAGAGGTCTAGTTCCAACTCTGTCACATATTAGGCCTGTGAACTTGGGTACATTCCCAAGCTCTCCAAGCCTTGTGATCTTCATCTGTATGTAGGACTGTTAGAATGTATGTATTGTATGTAAAGCCCCTGGTACAGTGCATGGTATGCAATGGGTTTTTAATGATGGCAGTTATTATTATGATTATTTTAACCCCAGAAACTAGCACTTTCCCCTCTGGGATTTATTTATCCAGCAGATGTCAGAGAATATGCCCTGCTCTGGGACATGGCCCACCAAATCAGCCAAAATTGCTACTTACCAAGAAAGCCTTACTAAATCTTCTTTATTAGGGGATGCATTATTTAATTTGGGTTTGGGGGAGTATTTCCCAACTGGATCCTAGAACTTGTGTCAAGGACCAACTCCTTCCTTCCCTCCCAGTTGCCCTTCCAACAGTCCGTCCCTATTTTCATTCATTTGCCTCCTCCAAAAATACAGACCTTGCTTAGATTTTGCCAAATTTTACTGAACATAACCTATTTAAAATGTCCCTTGAATGGTGTGGACGCTGGACCTCCCAGCCCAAGGCAAAGAGTGCCAGCCCAGTGGCTTCTAGATATCTCAGCTCAAGAAAGTATCACCTTTATTTCTCACAAACTCCTTGAAGATGATAATCATAAAATGCCTAATTTGTGTACTATGTTCAACTGCATTTGGACAACAATGCAGGATATCTTCCATTCTTATCCCATGAGGGATCTGGTTTACCCATGATCCCAAAGTATCCGGTAAGAACAGTTTTCCATTCCATTCCAAGTCTCTCAACTCTGAGACACACCCCTGGCTCACCACTTTCCCAGCCTCATCTAGTGTATCATAGAGCTCAATTAACATATACACACTACTATATATAAAATAGATAACTAACAAGGACCTACTGTATAGCACAGGGAACTCTACTCAATATTCTGTAATGACCTATATGGGAAAAGAATCTGAAAAAGAATGGAGATATATATATAAAACTGATTCACTTTGCTGCACATGTGAAACTAACACAACATTGCAAATCAACTATACTCCAATAAAAATAAAAAATTAAATTAACTCCCAGTGGAGGACTTGCAGTTTCCCAAGGCCTCAGCCTGCCTTGTCTCAGGACATTTATATTTGACAGCCCTCATATGGACTCCCCAGCTCCTGATTCCTTTTTAATTTTTCTTTTGGTATTAAAGGATATCCACCATTGTCTTTACATGATTCCTGCTCCTAGACTCTAAAATTCTATGGGTGGGTAGTAAGTCTTGTTTATCTGGGCATGCCCAGTACTAACACAGTGCTTTCCAAAGAGCACATGATGATTTAATGTTTGGAGAATAAATGAGCCATTGTACACGGGGTCTAATTTATTAAGATTTATTTCTCTTACATTCTTAAACAAGATAAGCAAAGGCATATATACGTCATCTAATTTTACAGAACAGAAGATTAAACAGGATAAGGGAAGCCAAGAATTGACCATCTTTTCGTGTTTTTTTTTTTTCTTGATCCCAACTATTTTACTGCTGAGTTCTTTGACAGTGCCAAGGAAATGCCTATTCTAATGTCATGTTATCTCTTCCAGATCACAAAAGAAGATGGTCAGTTTTACAATTTGTTTTACAAACAAACAAAACTTGTATTCTTAAATTCCATAAATAGCAATAAATGTATGACCAATGTCATTCATAAACTTAGATTCTGAAGCTAATGAAATGTTATATTAAAAGGAACATTTGAAAACTCACTCACTCCAAAAAGAAAATAAACCTGCATGTTAACTATATAGAAGAGGAACAGAAAGTATACAGTTTCCCAACAGCCACACTCCAGCTCTCAATACTTAGGAAGTTGACTGCTCTCTTCAATGACAAAGTGAAGAATCGGCCTCAGACCTCACTAGGGCTGGGAGGAGCTACTGGATATGGCACTGGAAAGTGCCCTGGCCATGGCAGCATTGCCAGCCCTGGTTCCAACCCTAGCTCAGGCTCTCTCTCTCCTTCATCTCTCAAAGCCTCCTCATACTGGGATGGGAAGCAAGTAGGGTCAGATTCATGGATCTTGGTCAAAAACTCTAGCAATTTCATTTTGCTGGCTTCAGCATGGGCTCTTGGACCCCACAGGAATTCAGAGCGTGAAGGATTGCTACTGGGTACCTGGCAGTACTCCAGGTACTGTTCTTCCACTAAATCTTTGGTGATAAGCTTCCTGGGCTCCCCGAAGATAAAATGCTTCCTCCCAGAATATAAGTCCATCATATTCAACACTTTCCAGATCTCCTCCTCAGTGGCACGACTGCCCTTCATGAAAATCACACCTAGGATAATTATCAGGAGGCCAGTCTTGGGCATGCCCTCGTCACCACTGAGCCTCGGATAACAGGTGAGGCCTAGTTTGTTGATGAGGGCATAGCTGTGGCTGGTGGGATCCACTTCCTTCACATCAATACCAAAGACCAGCCCTATGCACTCAGAGGCTCTCCTGAGGATCTCAAGGAAGTCATCCTTGTACTCTCTGATAACATCACCAATCATGTCTGCCTTTGTGGTCAGATCTCTCATTTGATACTTTTGCAGCAGGAACTGCACCAACAAAATCACCTTCTCATCTAGAGGGTCTGTGGGCAAGTTCTCAGTTTCTGACAGAGACTTTGAAGAAGCTGACCCTGTCTCCCTTTCCTGGCTGCTGGCGACCTCATCTGATTTGCTTGATGAGATGGTTGTAGTGACAGTGTAACATGAGTAGGCACGCTGAGGACTGTGGGGAGTACTGGGTGCCCCAGCAGCCAGAGCCTCATTCAAATAGGCAAGCATTAGAGTATGGAAGAAGGGAGAGGTCTCCTCCAGCACCCCGGAGACCTGTGCAGCCTCCAGGCCCTGGGGTTCACTGAGGGCATGGTGCTGTTCCTGCGTGCAGTGTGGAATCTCTTGACCCTGAGACATGTTCACTCTGGTCGGCAGCAGCAGACAGGAATGTGGGCAGGAGAGTGGGTAAAAGAGGACCGCCAACTAAGGAGAAAGGGAGGATGTGAGTGGCCTCATCTGTTAACTCAACTGTGGCAGCTCTGAAAAGAGTGCCTTCCATCCATCTTTTCCTTAGGGCAGTACTCGAGCCTCACAGGTCTCCTGTCCTGAACTGTAGGAAGCAAAGGAGGGAGCGAGAAGGCTCTTCAGGGTGCAGCCAGCCAACCTAGCCCAGGGCTTCCTAAAGCTGATAACAGGGCAGATGGGGTCAAGCTCTGTGGGATCTCTTCTGTTCTGCGGTGGGTGGTCCCCTCCATCTTTGTTCAGAGTCCTCACTGTGATCGCAGGGAGTATCTGGGACTCCTTCCTCTACTGACCCAAGGATTGTCACCTCAAAAAGAGGCTTAAATCTTCTTGAGACACTTGACTTACAAAGAAGAAAGGAGGTGCCTCACACTGACAGCTTTTTTCAGAGCCTCTCAGCCAGGAAGTCACAGAGGAGACAGACAGGGGAGAGAAGTGAGGGGCAGCTCATGGGGCCATACCTGCCCGGGCCTCCCAGAAGTGACAAAGGAGCACAGCTGTTGGGGCTCTGTTGTTCTGATGTGTGTGGTCCCCACAATCCTCACTAAAGGTCATGACTTTTGACCCTGACAGAGACTGAGACACCTCTCTCTGTTAACCTGAGACAACAGCCCTCAGATTCCCAAAACCAAAATCAAAAAGCACCGAAGTCTAACAACTATTCCAGGGCCTACCCAGTCTGACAACAGGGACAGGGGTCTATGGGGCCCCCACTGTTCTCCAGGGTGTGATTCCCCCAGTCCCTGCTCAGCATCTTAACTTGATTCCTGGCATGGCCTGATTACTTGGGGCCACACCTCTCGGAACAATATCATCATCATCCTCATATCCCGCAAGTCAGAGGAAGTCACTCCTGGCCAGCCCCTCCTCCTGGGACTCACAAGAGAATTCTGAGGACGCGTCTCCATTCTGGGGAAGAAATCTCCTCAGTCCCACTCAACATCTTACCCTGACTCCCGGCAGGATCTCAGACTCCTCCCTCCGCTCACCCGAGGCAGCAGTCCTCAGAACAGGCCTCACTTTCCTGCAAACCCAAGGTGGAAGCCAGGGGGCAAGTTATTCTGGCGCCGAGGGCTGGAGACGGGGGGGCTGCACTTTCACCTGCAGCATCCCCTCTATTCTGCGGAGCTGGTCACCTCATTCTCCTTGCCCACCTTACCCTGAAACTCCCCCGTGCCAGGGCCTCCTCCCTCTGCTGACTCGTGGCCACGCCCCGAGTGGCCGCGCTGCCCTGATCCCTGAGGCCCTAGGGGGATGACAAAAGGGACGGGGCTTTACTCAGCGGGCTGCCCCTCTCTTCTGGGGTGGTTAGTTCCCTCGTTCAGGGTCTTCACCTTGCCACTTGACCACTCGCAGGGCTCCTCCTTCTGCGAATACAACCCTCAGCTTTCGATAACTGCGGTCGCCAACCTTCCTCCCGGAAGTCAGGGCGTGTCCCTTCCGCTCCGCTCCCCCTCGCCTCCTCCCCCCACGCGAAGTGGTGCCTGGTTCTCGCGGGAACGACAGCAGGAGTGAGGTTCTGTGGGGCTCCTTGTATTCCGGGGTACTTAATGCACTCGGTGTCTTCACCCAGAATCACTGCAGGATCAAAGATTCCTACCTCCGCAGAGCTGAGGTTGTACCCCATACACCCATACACCAAGACCCTCACCCGGGTCAAACTCACGAGAGGACAAAGTCAGAGGGAGCCTCTGTCTAATAGTTATCCCGGGGCTCCCCACCGCCAACGTGGTGGCAGAACTCTTAGAGTGCCCTCCATTCCTCAGTTCTGACTCAGTGTCTTACCCAGGCCTTACATGGCCTGAGGCTCCTCCCTTTGTTAACCTGAGGCTGCATCTCCTCAACTCAAGGCCCTCCATCACCACCTTTAGATTCCTGAGGCCATTTCTAGCCACCTCTGCTGGGAGTCTTCCAAGGCTGACAACGGGAACAGGCTCTATGGGGTCCTTCTCTTCTGGGATAAGTGGTTCCCACAGTTCTCACTTAGGGTCCATATCTTGGGTCCAGTCTTTTTGATTAATTACTTCCTAGACGATGCCACCTCCTTGCCAATCTCTATGCTTTTGCCCCTGTGTGACTCTCATACAGACTGAGTCCCTGAGTCCAAGTTCAGGCTGGATGCTGGGTAGTGAAGATGAAGCACCGTGAATTTAAAAAACAGAAACAGAAACAAAACAAAACAAAAGTCACCTTCCCATTGGGTCCCTTCTCCAGCCAGTTGGAAACCTTTTCTAAAAGACTTAACTTTCTATAGGAAAGAGCCTTGTATAGACACATTGCTAAGTGGTCTTGCCACTCCCATTGGAAATGCTGTATCACTTCATATAATCATGTAGAGGAGTGCTAAGGACCAGCATGGGCCCACTAGGTTAATGTGGGCCGGACCCAGTTGCCCCCTGACATCTGATCACTGGATAAATAATTGAAATAAGCAGGACAGAACCTTAGAAATTGTCATTTTATGAATGAGGAGCCTGGAGCATAGGGAGGTGCTGAAGTGTTTTGCAAGTGATTTGCTACTGATGAGAGTTAAAGTACTAAAGTGGTGCTCTATGACTATGTTCTCACTGCACACATTTCAAACAGTACACTCAAAAGTCTGTCTTCCCTTTTCAATCCTCTCTGTTACGTGCACCACCATATAACCTTATTATGAATTAATTTTGTATGGATATAATTGTGCATTTGCTTTACATAAATGAAATTTAGGTAAATTACATAAACGTGATAATAAAGTACATATTATTTTGCTATTTGCTTTTTCCTCTAATTACACAGGCTCTGGACGCGCAGCCTCAGCGGCCATGGCTCACGGGCCCAGCCGCTCCGCGACACGCGGGATCCTCCCGGACCGGGGCACGAACCCGCGTCCCCTGCATCAGCAGGCGGACGCTCAACCACTGTGCCACCAGGGAAGCCCAGTACCTTTGTTTTAAAATGAGACATGGCATAGATTCAAATACTAAAAAAAAAAAAGAAGCACATTGGGCTTCCCTGGTGGCGCAGTGGTAATGCCTGGCACATAGTGGGCATTCAGGAAAAGACCGTTGAATAAATGAAACCACTAAAGCTATTTTTATATACCTTTAGTGGGATTCAGCTTGCTGGGTTTTACTGTTGTTACTTTTTTTTTTAACATCTTTATTGGAGTATAATTGCTTTACAATGGTGTGTTAGTTTCTGCTTTATAACAAAGTGAATCAGCTATACAAATACATATATCCCCATATCTCCTCCCTCTTGGGTCTCCCTCCCACCCTCCTTATCCCACCCCTCTAGGTGGTCACAAAGAACCGAGCTATCTCCCTGTGCTATGTGGCTGCTTTCCACTATCTATCTATTTTACATTTGGTAGTTTATTATATGTCCATGCCACTCTCTCACTTCATCCTAGCTTACCCTTCCCACTCCCCATGTCCTCAAGTCCATTCTATACGACTGTGTCTTTATTCCTGTCCTGCCCCTAGGTTCTTCAGAACCATTTTTTTTTTTTTTTTAGGATTCCATATATATATGTTAGCATACGATATTTGTTTTTCTCTCTGACTTACTTCACTCTGTATGACAGTCTCTAGGTCCATCCATGTCTCTACAAATGACCCAATTTCTTTCCTTTTTATGGCTGAGTAATATTCCATTGTATATATGTGCCACATCTTCTTTATCTGTTCATCTGTCGATGGACACTTGGGTTGCTTCCATGTCCTGGCTATTGTAAATAGAGCTGCAATGAACATTGTGGTACGACTCTTTTTGAATTATGGTTTTCTCAGGGTATATGCCCAGTAGTGGGATTGCTGGGTTGTATGGTAGTTCTATTTTTAGCTTTTTAAGGAACCTCCATACTGTTCTCCATAGTGGCTGTATCAATTTACATTCCCATCAACAGTGCAAGAGGGTACCCTTTTCTCCACACCCTCTCTAGCATTTATTCTTTGTAGATTTTTTGATGATGGCCATTCTCACTGGTGTGAGGTGATACCTCGTTGTAGTTTTGATTTGCATTTCTCTAATGATTAGTGATTTGAGCATCCTTTCATGTGTTTGTTGGCAATCTGTATATCTTCTTTGGAGAAATGTCTATTTAGGTCTTCTGCCCATTTTTGGATTGGGTTGTTTGTTTTTTTGATATTGACCTGCATAAGCTGCTTGTAAATTTTGGAGATGAATCCTTTGTCAGTTGCTTCATTTGCAAATATTTTCTCCCATTCCGAGGGCTGTCTTTTCATCTTGTTAATGGTTTCCTTTGCTGTGCAAGAGCTTTTACGTTTCATTAGGTCACAGTTGTTTATTTTTGTTTTTATTTGCATCACTCTAGGAGGTGGGTCAAAAAGGATCTTACTGTGATTTATATCATAGAGTGTTCTGCCTATGTTTTCCTCTAAGAGTTTGATAGTTTCTGGCTTTACATTTATGTCTTTAATCCATTTTGAGTTTATTTTTGTGTATGGTGTTTGGAAGTGTTATAATTTCATTTTTTTTGCATGTAGCTGTCCAATTTTGCCAGCAACACTTATTGAAGAGGCTGTCTTATCTCCATTGCATATTCTTGCCTCCTTTATCAAAAATAAGGTGACCATATGTGCGTGGGTTTATCTGTGGGCTTTCGATCCTGTTCCATTGATCTATATTTCTGTTTTTGTGCCAGTACCATACTGTCTTTTTTTTTTTTAACATCTTTATTGGCGTATAATTGCTTTACAATGCTGTGTTAGTTTCTGCTTTATAACAAAGTGAATCAGCTATACATATACATATGTTCCCATATCTCTTCCCTCTTGTGTATCCCTCCCTCCCACCCTGCCTATCCCACCCCTCTAGGTGGTCACAAACCACCGAGCTGATCTCCCTGTGCTATGCAGCTGTCTCCCACTAGCTATCTATTTTACATTTGGTAGTGTATATATGTCCATGCCACTCTCTCACTTTGTCACAGCTTACCCTTCCCCCTCCCCATATCCTCAAGTCCATTCTTTAGTAGGTCTGTTTCTTTATTTCCATTATGCCCCTAGGTTCTTCATGATCTTTTAATTTTTTTTCTTAGATTCCATATATATGTGTTAGCATACGGTATTTGTTTTTCTCTTTCTGACTTACTTCACTCTGTATGACAGACTAGGTCCATCCACCTCACTACAAATAACTCAATTTCGTTTCTTTTTATGGCTGAGTAATAGTCCATTGTACATATGTGCCACATCTTCTTTATCCATTCATCTGTTGATGGACACGTAGGTTGCTTCCATGTCCTGGCTATTGTAAATAGAGCTGCAATGAACATTTTGGTACATGACTCTTTTTGAATTATGGTTTTCTCACTGTATATGCCCAGTACCGGGATTGCTGGGTCGTATGGTAGTTCTATTTGTAGTTTTTTAAGGAACCTCCATACTGTTCTCCATAGTGGCTGTATCAGTTTATGTTCCCACCAACTGCAAGAGTGTTCCCTTTTCTCCACACCCTCTCCAGCATTGTTTCTAGATTTTTTGATGATGGCCATTCTGCCCGGTGTGAGATGATATCTCATTGTAGTTGTTTTGGTTTTTTTTCGCAGTACGTGGGCCTCTCACTGTTGTGGCCTCTCCCGTTGCAGAGCACAGGCTCTGGACACGCAGGCTTAGCGGCCAGGGCTCACGGGCCCAGCCGCTCCGCGGCATGTGGGATCTTCCTGGACCGGGGCACGAACCCGTGTCCCCTGCATCGGCAGGCAGACTCTCAACCACTGCGCCACCAGGGAAGCCCTCAATGTAGTGTTGATTTGCATTTCTCTAATGATTAATGATGTTGAGCATTCTTTCATGTGTTTGTTGGCAATCTGTATATCTTCTTTGGAGAAATGTCTATTTAGGTCTTCTGCCCATTTTTGGATTGGGTTGTTTTTTTTTGTTATTGAGCTGCATGAGCTGCTTGTAAATTTTGAAGATGAATCCTTTGTCAGTTGCTTCATTTGCAAATATTTTCTCCTATTATGAGGGTTGTCTTTTCATCTTGTTTATGATCTCCTTTGCTGTGCAAAAGCTTTTAAGTTTCATTAGGTCCCATTTGTTTATTTTTTTTATTTCCATTTCTCTAGGAGGTGGGTCAAAAAGGATCTTGCTGTGATTTACGTCATAGAGTGTTCTGCCTATGTTTTCCTCTAAGAAATTTAGAGTGTCTGGCCTTACATTTAGGTCTTTAATCCATTTTGAGCTTATTTTTGTGTATGGTATTAGGGAGTGTTCTAATTTCATACTTTTACATGTACCTGTGCAGTTTTCCCAGCACCACTTATTGAAGAGGCTGTCTTTTCTCCACTGTACATTCCTGCCTCCTTTATCAAAGATAAGGTGACCATATGTGCATGGGTTTATCTCTGGGCTTTCTATCCTGTTCCATTGATCTGTATTTCTGGTTTTGTGCCACTACCATACTGTCTTTATTACTGTAGCTTTGTAGTATAGTCTGAAGTCAGGGAGTCTGATTCCTCCAGCTCCGTTTTTCGTTCTCAAGATTGCTTTGGCTATTCGGGGTCTTCTGTGTTTCCATACAAATTGTGAAATTTTTTGTTCTAGTTCTGTGAAAATGCCAGTGGTAGTTTGATAGGGATTGCATTAAATCTGTAAATTGCTTTGGGTAGTAGAGTCATTT